ACTACTTTGAAAGTCTGTATGCCACGAAACAAGAGAACCTAGAAGAAATGGATAAATTCCTGAATTCCTATAATCTCCCAAAATTGAATCAAGAAGAATAGAGTACCTGAACAAACCTATCAACATCAAGAAAATTGAAACTGTAATCAAAAGTCTTCCCCAAAACAAAAGCTCAGGTCCAGATGGATTCACTAGCGAATTTTTCCAAACATTTAAAGAGGACCAATTGCCAGTTCTTCTCAAGCTTTTCCAGGAAATTGAAAAAACAGAAACTCTCCCAAACAGCTTCTGTGAAGCCCATATCTCCCTAATACCAAAAGGTAACAAAGACACTACAAGAAAACTACAGGCCGATATCCCTGATGAACATGGATGCGAAGATTCTCAACAAAATACTAGCAAATAGAATTCATCAACTCATCAAAAAGATCATACACCATGACCAAGTGGGATTCATCCGGGGATGCAAGGATGGTTTAACATTCGGAAATCAATCAACATAATCCATATCAACAAAAGAAAAGATAAAAATAATATGATATCATGTCAATAGATGCAGAGAAAGCAATTGACAAGATCCAGCACCCGTTTATGATGAAAACCCTCGCCAAAATGGGGATAGAGGGGACTTTCCTCAATATAGTTAAAGCTATCTACCACAAGCTTACAGCAAGCATCATCTTCAATGGGAAAAAACAGAGCCTTCCCCCTAAGATCAGGAATGAGGGGCTGGAGCGATGGCACAGCGGGTAGGGCATTTGCCTTGCACGCAGCCAACATGGCCAATACAGGTTCGATTCCCAGCATCCCATATGGTCCCCCGAGCACCGCCAGGAGTGATTCCTGAGTGCATGAGCCAGGAGTAACCCCTGAGTATCGCCGGGTATGACCCAAAAAGCAAAAAGGAAAAAAAAAGGAATGAGACAAGGATGCCCACTCTCTCCACTACTGTTCAATATAGTACTGGAAGTACTTGCAATAGCGATTAGGCAATAAAAAGATATTAAGGGCATCCAGGTAGGAAAGGAAGAAATCAAACTCACTATTCGCAGATGATATGATACTATACTTAGAGAACCCTAAAACCTACCAAGAAACTCCTAGAAACAATAGACTTGTATAGCAAAGTTGCAGGCTATAAAATCAATACCCAAAAGTCCATGGCTTTCCTATATGCAAATAGTGATAGAGAAGAAAGTGACATGTAGAAAACAATCCCGTTCACAATTGTGCCCCAGAAAATCAAGTACCTGGGAATCAGCTTAACTAAGGAAGTAAAGGACCTGTACAAAGAAAACTAAAACGCTACTTCAGTAAATAAAAGAGGACATGAGGAAATGGACAAATATCCTCTGTTCATGGATGGAGAGAATTAACATTGTCAAAATGGCAATACTTCCCAAAGCACTGTACAGATTCAATATGATCCCTATTACGATACCAATGACATTCTTCAAAGAAATGGAGCAAACACTCCTGAAATTTATATGGAACAATAAGCCCCCACGAATAGCTAAAGCAATCCTTGGGAAAAAGAAAATGGGAGGAATCAACCTCCCTAACTTCAAACTCTACTACAAAGCAGTAATAATTAAAACAGCATGGTACTGGAACAAAGGCAGAACTGTAGACAATGGAACAGAGTTGAATATACTGACATCTCCCCTCAAGCATATGATCATCTAATCTTCGATAAGGGGGCAAGAAAAATGAAGTGGAGCAAGGAAAGTCTCTTTAACAAATTGTGCTGGCAAAACTGGACAGCTACATGCAAAAAAGTGGGCTCAGATCTCTGCCTAACGCAATGTACAAAAGTAAGATCAAAATGGATTAAAGACCTCAACATTAGACCAGAATCCATAAGGTACATTGAAGACAAAGTTTGCAAAACCCTCCATGATATTGAAGCTAATGATATCTTCAAACATGTCATGCGACTGGCCAAGCAAGTGAAAACAGAGATTGATAAATGGGACTGTCTTAAACTAAGAAGCTTCTGCACCTCAAAAGAAACAGTGACCAAAATACAAAGACAGTCTACAGAATGGGAAAGGATATTCGCCGAATACACATCCAACAAGGGGTTGATATCTAGGATATACAAAGTACTGGTTGAACTCCACAAGAAGAAAACATCCAACCCCATCAAAAAATGGGGCGACAAAATGAACAGAAAGTTTCTCAAGAAACTCAAATGGCTAAAAAGCACATGAGAAAATTCTCTACACCATTAATCATCAGGGAGATGCAGATCAAAACAGCAATGAGATATCATTTCACACCACAGAGACTGGCCCACTGGCGCAGATGTGGTGAGAAAGGGACCCTCCTTCACTGCTGGTGGGAATGCCGACTGGTTCAGCCCTTCAGGAAAACAGTATGGACGATTCTCAAAAAATTAGAAATCGAGCTCCCATTTGACCCAGCAATACCACTCCTGGGAATATATCCCAGAGAGGCAAAAAAAAGTGTAGTCGAAGTGACATCTGCACTTGTTTGTTCATTGCAGCACTCTTTACAATAGCCAGAATCTGGAAAAACCCTGAGTGCCCGAGAACAGATGACTGGTTAAAGAAACTTTGGTACATCTTCACAATGGAGTACTATGTAGCTTTTAGAAAAGAAGTCATACAAGTGGACCTACATGGAAAGTATCATGTTAAGCGAAATGAGTCAGAAAGATGGGGATAGACATAGAAAGATTGCATTCATCTGGGGAACATAAAGTAACAAAATAGGAGACTAACACCCAAGAGTGGCCGAGATTAGTACCAGGAGTTTTGCTTCATGGCTTGGAGGCCAGCCACACACTCTAGGGGAAAGGGAGCTCAGATAAAGAAAGGAGCACCGAATAAAGGGTGTTGGGAGGATCCTCCCAGGATGGGAGAAGCATGCTGAAAGTAGACTACAGACCAAACATGATTGCCACTCAGTGCCTCTTTTGCAAACCACAACACCCAAAAGGAGAGAGAGAACAGAAGGGAATGCCCTGCCACAGAGGCAGGGTGGGACAAGGGGATGTGGGGTGGGAGGGATACTGGGACCCGTGGTGGTGGAAAATGGGCATCAGTGGAGCGATGGGTGTTTGATCAATGTACAATTGAAACCCAAGCACAAAAATTTGTAAATCTACAACTGTTCCTCATGGTGTTTCACTAACAAAAATTTTTTAAAAAATGTAAATGGAAAATGGGCACTGATGGAGGGATGGGTACTGGATCATTGTATAAGTGAAACCCAAGCACAAAATTTTGTAAGTCTAGGGGCTGGAGCAATAGCGGGTAGGACGTTTGCCTTGCATGCGGCCAACCCAGGTTCGAATCCCAGCATCCCATATGGTCCCCTGAGCACCGCTAAGAATAATTCATGAGTGCAGAGCCAGGAGTAACCCCTGAGTATCGCCGGGTGTGACCCAAAAAGAAAAAAAAATTGTAAGTCTACAACTGTATCTCATGGTGTTTCATTAATAAAAATTAAAAAAAAAAAAGAAAGAAAAGTGAATGGACTATGCGTTAAACTATGGCGCCATGCCTCCCCGGGAGGGAAAGGGTGTTGCTCCCTTCCACCTTCACCCCCCCAACCCCCCCCCCCCGGCAGCAAGGTGGCTGCCGCCTCAGAGCTTATTGGAAAGCCAGGTATGAGCCAGCGGTTATGGGGCAACTGCAGTCTCATGGGAAGGGAGATGGTACCGGCTCGTCATTCATGCCCTACCGAGGTCACGAGTTGCCCCCCATGAGCGGCTCTCCGGCATGGCCATGACTCCAGAGGCAAAAGGACTTAGTCCAGAGCCAGACAGCTTGCAGCAGAAAAGTGAATGGACCAAACATTAAACTACGGTGCCATGCCTCCCTGGGAGGGAAAGAGTGTTGCTCCCTTCCTACCTTTTCCTCCCTGGGAGCAAGGTGGCTGCCCCTTCAGAGCTTATAGGAAAGCCATGTATGAGCCGGTGGTGATGGGGCTACTGCAGTCTCATGGGAAGGGGGGCGGTACTGGCATGTCCTTCACACCCTACCGAGGTCACGAGTTGCCCCCCATGAGTGGTTCTCCAACACAGCCATAACACCAGACCCGCAGAAACCAATCTCGTAATTATCTGACTCTTTGCAGAAATCCAAAATCATTATATGATTCTCATAACCAGCTATAGGAAACAAAGTATTTCACAATGTGTTTTCAGCAATTCTGATTGTTGGGGGGGGGGGAATTCTAAACAATAATGGTGCATCTTTTGTCAAAACAATGTAATCAATGTAGAGAAAAGTTAAGTAGAAATCATCTGCCTCATGGCATTGGGAGGGGTGGGAGAGGGGAATATTGGGGTTCTTGGTGGTGAAAAATGAGTACTGGTGAAGGGAAAGGTGTTTGATCATTGTATGACCGAAACTTAGAGCTGAAAGCTTTGTAACTTTTCCTTTGTAAATAAATATAAGAAGAAAAAATAAAAAAAGAAATGGGGCAGACATTTCTGAATGTGTGCATATGATGAGAGCAGTGCTTGAACCGAGGACTCTGGTTCTTAGTGCTTGTGACAAACGGTTCCACCCTGGAGGGATCCTGTTGAGGAGAAGCAGAGACCATGACAGGAGGGATTGGGGGAATGTATATGAGACAGGGGCTCTTGCAGGCAGCAAGGAGGGTGGCAGGATGGAGGAACTAAGAGAGAGGTAGGGTGGCCGGAACCCAGAACGTATGGCCAGTGGCAGTGCTGTAACTGAGAAGTCCTGTGGGGCTTGAGGACCCTAGAAGTGAGGTGAAACCGTTGATGTTTTTTTTCTTAGGCATTGAGGTTTGATAAGCAATTTGAAAAAAAAAATCTTTCTGTAGAAGTTCAGGTGTGTGTTGAGGGCAATTGGGCAGGAATGGGGAAAAACAGATGGTATTGAGCAAGATTGGGTGGCCCAAGTGCCATCAGTGTCCTCAGCTCTGTGACTCTCTCTGGTGCCAAGTCCTGCCCCAAGATGCTAAGGGTATCTTTTTTTTTCTTTTGGACTTTTTGGTAGCTCCTGTCTTCGCTCCTGGTTAGAACAAGACACCTCCTGCCCAACATGCAGAATGTCTCTCAACATCGCTGACAATAATCGGGTCCGAGAAGACCACCAAGGAGAGAACTTGGATGAGAATTTGGTTCCTGTAGCAGCAGCTGAAGGCAGACCTCGCTTAAACCAACACAATCACTTCTTCCACTTTGATGGTTAGTTTGTTTCTACCAATACCAGGGTTTTTCTCCCTGTGCCTGTGTTCTTTATTTGATGAAATGCCCTGTATAACCTGTCCTAACGGAATGTATTCAGTAAGTACAGTGAGGAGTTCTACAGTGCAGGACATTTGGCAGATCCTGTGAATGTTCAGGGAATGACAGTTCTCTCATGTCGAACTGTTACTGATTTCCACCAGCTCAGTTTATTTTTCTTACTGTAAATGGGTATTCTGGGATTTTGTTAGAACTGTTCATATATTGGATTTGAGTTTCCGAGGGTGGAGGTTCACGGGGGTGGGGACATGTTGGTGAAACCCGTCAGAAGGGACCATGGGAGTTGAGTCAGGTGTTCAGTTGCTAGATCAGTCAATTACTACACTTCTGTTAAATACTAAAACTCAGTCAAAAGACAGCCAACTATATTTCTCTCTAATAAGTACACAAAATAAGTATCTAATATTTTTTAGCATATTTTGTGTGGCAAAATTTTGAACTGCCATATACTGCCATATTCCATATACTTTTTTTTGTTAGTCCATGCCTCAGCTTTATGTAAGGGAAAAAATGCCTCTGATATTGAGCTTTTTGCAACCATACTTGGTGGTATTTTATTGTCCCCTTTCTTAGGTAAATAACGGAAGCAGCTGACTTCTTGTTGCCAGAATTCCACATTCCACAGGCCTGTGTTGTAGAACTCTTGAAAAGAATTTTGAATCAGAAAACTGAAATCCTTAAACCAGATTATTGAGTAGAAAACACGTAATATCATTAATTGTGAAAATAATGTCTCTCAATGAGTAGCAGTGTGTGCAGTGTGAGAGGAGCACTTCATAGGTCATAGCGGGTCTGGAGCCTGGAGGACCTTTGTCTAGGCTGAGAATGGATTGAGGGCATGTGACTCTAAGGCCACTGGAGAGCAGGAGAGCCTCGCGGTGACATTCTAGAACCTGACTCTCCTCCAGTCCTGACATCAACAGAGCTAGAATCTGACATCTGAGCAAAGTAGAATGAGAATAATAGATGGTTCCATGAGGGGTTTTGGTGAATCGTAAATGAGCAAATCTATGTGAGACTCATGGCACAGGCCTGGCATAAAGTGAGGGCAGTGAGTACCCGTTGGAACGGAGGACCTGGGAGAGTCTGTCAGGTGCCTGAAACCTCTGCTCATTTTCCTTTATGCTAGGCTCCCGAATTGCCAGTTGGCTGCCGAGTTTCTCAGTGGAAGTGATGCACACCACCAATATTCTGGGCATAACACAGGCCAGCAACTCCCAGCTGAATGCCATGGTAAGAACTGCTAATGGTTTGGATGTGTTGCTGCTGAATCAGGAGGGTGAGAGTCTGGAAGGAGGACAGAGCGTCTGGCCTTGTCGGTCTCACTCTGCCCTGGCCTAGTACACACTTCTCAGGGGCCTTCTGTGTTCTCTGGGACCACTTATATTCTTGTGCTTGAAAGTTTGAAATTGGAGTGGAAACCCACTTTCCTATTCTTCTGGGGACTGTCTTTGATTCAAGTAAAAATATTTAGGGAATTCTTGGCAAGTAAATGATACTTTTCTTTTTTAAATTTGATGTTATCAGAGACTGGGACTGTGACTCAGTCGTAGAACTTGCCTTGTGTGTGTGAGACTCTGAGTTTGATTCCTGGCTCTGCCAGAAGGAAAGTCTCCCGCTTCCTCCCCCCCCCCCAACCCCACCCCCACATCCTATCCCCAGTCCCTAGACCTCCTGGGGTATTGCCCAAAAACTGGGAGTGGAGGGGATCGTACTAGGTCTACTAAATTTTTTTTTTAATTCCAACCTCTTCCTCCCCCAAGTAAGTATCATATGAATGCGCATGCAAACACATACACATACACTCGTCTGTGTGTATGGGTGTATATATCTTGTGAGGCATTGCTGTTAGTTTAAGGATAGTGTGAATATACTTCAAGATTCTTTGTGTGTGTTGTTCTGTTTTGTTCTGCGATGTCTGGGGATTGAATCCAGGGCCTCACATATGTAAGGCTGGTGCTCTAATGTACCCTAAACTGCTTCCCTGCCCCTGTTTTTTCTAAAGCTTTTTCAGCTGGTATGTATTTTCATTGCTGAAACATGTTTCACTGTGATTGAAATTTGATAGTAATGCAGGCTATCTTCATTCTGCTTGGATAGCGCTGCCACCAGAGTGGGTGGGTAAGCCTGGCCAGTGCTTTAGGAAGTTACTGGTTTATTAATTTTTCTCAGTGCATGTATTCAGACTGTTCACTTCACAGTGTAAACAAATGACACATCCCTGCCAAATGGAAAGGGTAGACATGAGTCCTGCTCACAGGAAGTGAGTTCTAATTGGGAGGCTAATCCTAGCCACACAGATCAGGTTATTGCTGCCGGTGACATGTGCTGTGGGGAGGCAGGGCAGCAGGTGGGTGGGGAGGGGCTAAGGTGGCCCTCAGAGCAGTGCTCTCCCAGGTAGCAGTGGTTCAGCTGAGACCTGGAGGAGGAGGGCAGGGGAAAGCCATAGTGGAAGTAGCAGGGACCAAGGCCACAAGGTGAGAAAGCCCTGGAAACAAGCGTGACTGGAGCCTAGCAAGTCCAGGACCGAGACTGTGGCATAAACTGAGATTGTAGAATCAGACCACACAAGGGTCTATCCATTTTCGATTTTAATAATGTCTTAGAAGGCCAGTGAAGGATTTCTTCCAGGAGACTCATAAACATTGAAAAGAGAATGATTTGCATTGGTGAGCATGGGCTCTCCAGTGGTAGGAATGGGAGCATGGAGACCAGTTAAGAGGCTGATGCAGTAATTCAGGCAAAAGAAACTGGTAACAGGGTAGCAAGGAAACAGGCTGCTGCAGAATTGAGATACTTTGGGAAGGTAAACTGACAGCTGGATGAGGCTTTGATTTGGACATAGGGTAAGGCAAATGAAGGGCTGGAAACTGTAGCTGTGCAGGTGCTACACCATGTACTGAGATGGGCAAAACTCAGGGACAAGCAGAGTTAAGGACTGGGCTCGGGGAAGTTGGGGTGTCTGAGACATCTAAGTAGAGATGCTGTGAAGCAGTTCTGCACCTCAGAGAAGGGATCAGGCCACATGCTCTATTTGGAGAGGTTTAAAGAGAGGAACTAGATTTCTTCCAGGAGAACATGTACTTCTAGGGAGAAGGGACTCAGGTCTGGCATCTCCGGAGGAGCCAGGGCCACAGCTGAGTGAGAAGCAGCTGGGAGGGCTGGGGGTGGGGGCATGGTGGCAAGTCAGGCCTGTGACAGTCCTTAACAGGGAAGTACAACAGACCAGTGCCGTTTGTTTGGCACAGTGGGCGTGCTTGACTGGCTGGAGAAGAGCAGTCACTTCCATGGCCTGTGGGACCAGAAAGTGAGTGGAAAGTGACTGGAAGGTGAGTGGGAGCTAAAGAAACAAAGTACCTGGCACTGGGGTGTAAAGGGAACATAGATGCCGAGGTGTTTGGAAGATATTTGGTATCTGCATGTGGTAGGGCAGCATTTGTTGAATTTCCGGCCACACCTAGCTGTGCTGAGGGTTTACTCCTGGCCCTCTACTCAGGGATGACTCTTGCCAGGGCTCTGGGGACCATATGCGTATGTGGTGTCAGGGATAGAATCGGGGAAGCACCCTACCCACTGTATTCCAGCTTGTGTTTTTGTTTCGGTAAATCCTTTTATTTTAAAAGCATTTTGAAGAGGTCATTTGTCTCCACCTTTCCAAACTCACAGAGGACTGTCCATTGAAGTCTCCCATTCTTCCCTTCATCCACCCAGGCGCCCACCCAAATAACCCCCCAGCCCTGGGCAACACCATTCTTCGTTATTTCTGTGATTTTGATTATTTTGAGTAGCTCATAGAGCAGAACATACAGTGTTTTTTCATGACTGGCTTGTTTCACTTAGCATCAAGTCTTCAAGGCTCAACCATGCTGTAATCCATGTCAGAATCTCTTTTCTTTCTAAGGCTGAATATTTCATTGTGTGTATATATCACATCTCCATCGTCTGTTTGATGGACAGTTCAGCTGCTTCCATGTTTTGCTTATTGTAAATCATGCTGCTATTAATATTTGACCAAAAAAAAAAAAAACAAAGCAAAGTTTCTGAGACCCTGCTTTCAGTTCTTGGAGTCCCTTACATATTTTTAGATAGGGATTCTGAACATGCTTGCTGTGAGAATAACATCACTGTGAGGAGAACCCAACAGTACAGCACAAACAGGAAAGAGCAGAGACCTTTCAGGTCTTCAGTTAAAGGAAGATGGAGGTGGGGGCGGGAAGCCAGAGTAGGGAGGCTTTCTTGTTTTTGGTTTTGTTTTGGGGACACACCTGAAGGTGCTTGGGGTCCACACCTGAAGGTGCTTGGGGTCCACTCACTGAGGCTCCTTGCTATCGTACCCCTGGCAATGCTCAAGGACCATGCGGCACTGAAGATTAGATCCTGTATTCATGTGCTCAACTCATTGATCTGTCTCTCAGACCCCCCCAGGAGGTGTTTACTTTATTAGGAGAGGGAATATACAGACAATGTCAGTTTGAGATACAGCTTTAAAAAGAAGGTGTGGGGGCTGGGGAATAGTACAGTGGTGCATGCCTAGAGTTTACCCATCTTGGTATCACTTATGATCCCTGAACACTGCCTGGAGTGATCTATAAGCACTGTCTTGGTGTCTCCCCAAACAAAACAAATAAGAATCCAGAGTTTCCTGGCTGAAAGTGTGGGTAGGGCTGTGCTGAGGTCTGTTTCTGCTCCCCGCTGTGTGCCTACATTGCAGAGCCCTGACGGTGGATGCTGAGACCTTGCTAGCATGTACCACAGCTCTAGAGTCCCATCAGGAACTCTCTCCCCTCAGAACCTTTGTCACATGGAGAGGTGATTACATGCCAGAGACTCATCCCTTCAGCACAGGCAGTCATGTCATCACGATGATGGTCGTGGTGTGGAGCAGCTCTGCTCCGTCCTTAGGAGTTTCTTTCTGTCCTTGTGGAGTAACTTCCTTACCCATCCCGGCTCCTCACAGCCAATCATTAGTTCTCATAATTTTTCCTTTTCTTCTTTTTTTTTTCTTATTGGGTCACACCTGGTGATGCTCAGGGGTTACTCCTGGCTTTGCGCTCAGGAATTGCTCCTGGCAGTGCTCAGGGGACCTTATGGGATGCTGGGAATCGAACCCGGGTTGGCCGGTGCAAGGCAAATGCCCTACCCCCAGTGCTGTTGCTCCAGCCCCATCAGTTTTCCTTTTCTGTTTGGGTTTAGGAGCCTAACCTGGCAGTGCTGCGGGCTTACACCTGCCGCTGCTGTTTGCTCAGGGATCACTCCAGTTGGTGCTTGGGGGACCTCATTTAGTGCCAGGGATTGAACCTGGGTTGCCTGTGTGCAAGGCAAGTGCTCTCCCTGTTGTACTACCACTCCAGCCTCAAATACGTTTTTGTATGTGAGTTATTCTAAACTTTACAATTAAAATCTTGGCGGTCTAGTACAGCAGGGGCAGGGATAAGGAGAGGCTTGCTTTGCGTATAGCCTACCTGCAATCAGTCCCTAGCACTGTATGTTGTCCCCGAGCACTCCCAGGTGTATGTAGCTCAGAAAAAGCAAAAAAAAAAAAAAAAAAAAAGACTCTAATTTAAAAAAAAAAAAAAACAACCAAACACCTAGAATAATTCTAGTTGAGCATTTCTTGGGAACCAGCTGGATTTTCTGTGCTTTTTAAATTTTAAGATTGATGGTGTCCCCCACAGTCTCTGTTTGGCATCTTGGAAAATGGCTGAAAGGCCTGACGTGTCACGGGGACCGTGGAGACGAGCTGGCTCCTTATTTGTATTTTCAAGTCTGGTCACCAGAGCCCACCGTCGGCTTCAGTGAGTACTGCCCAGCGCTGAGAATGGACATTTGAGTGAGATCTGGCATGTCTTCCTACAGGCTCATCAGATTCAAGAAATGTTTCCCCAAGTTCCCTACCACCTTGTGCTGCAGGACCTACAACTGACACGCTCTGTGGAAATAACGACAGACAATATTCTGGAGGGAAGGATCCAAGTCCCTTTCCCTACACAGGTAAAGTGGGGTATTAAGCATGATAGCCGGATTCTGACTCCATAAAGATCGAATCACTAGCTTAACTTTCTTAGTTAACAACTGGGGATTATCTGTTATTTGAGGAGGCTTCCTGTGAATTTCCCAAACTTCCAGATTTTGCCTGAGACAGACCCACTAAGGCTCAGATTAAAACAAGGATAAGCACCAAGCACAAGCACCAAGCACATTGGGTAAGATTTTTGTGGTGATATACTTCCATCCAGTCTGCTCTTTCCAGTCCAGAGCTCAGAGCCTCTGTTTTTGTTGGAGAAAGACCAGCAGCTTTTCCCTGTAAAGGGCAGATAAGGGACATTTCACAACTTTCCCAGCGCTTGGCTCTGTTGTGGCCCCTACATGGCCCTGGGTGCTGTGGAGGTGACGGGCACTCAGGTGACGCCCTAGCTCTTACTGACCAGCAGGCTGGAGTTTGCCAACCTCCAGTGGAGGAGACAGTGCTGACTCTTCCTGGCTGGCTTTGCACATTGGTGTGACTTTGTACTGGCAGTATTTCATGTCTCCGTGAGGCTGTATTTTTGATTCTTTTAAAAGGTCAGATTTCTTTGTCTATCACAGTAATCTCTCCATGGATACAAGGACTGTCAACATTTTAAAGACAAGCTTTCGGGCAGAACCAAGGAACATCTTTATGACCAGGGAATCATCAAGAAAGTACTTGACTTCAGCGTGCAAAACTGGAGACCAGGAATTAGTAAAACGGTTAGGGCATGTTCCTGGCATGTGTCTGATCCTGATTCAATTCTGGCACCACAAGGTCCCACAAGTATCCCCAGGTTTAGCCCTACAGCGCTCCCCTCCCCTCCAGTACTGCTGGGGTGGTCTGGGGACCCTTGGCTCTCTTATGCTGAGAATATTGCTGGTGGGGTCCCCAGGCCTCTGGAGCACCAGTTGGGAAGCCCCATCGCCTCACAGAATATAGATAGAAATCCCTCCAGTCGGTGTCTGTTCTGTCTTGTTGGCAGACGGAATGATGCTGGCTGGGGGACTGGGTGCGCTCGCCAGTCCTCACCTGTCTGGCCTGCCAGATGGCTCTGGATCTTGAGAGTTCAACGGGGGCATGTTCCGGGAACCACAGGCTGCAGGTGGGCCTGTGAGGGCGAGGAGGAGCAGCGTTGGCCAGGCACATGTTTCCATTTCCATCGTGGACTTGTCCCATAGGTACCTCTGGGAGCCAGGGCAGAACTGGTCCCCCTCATCAGTGGTGAGGAGCACCTCAGTGAGGTTGTGATCCCACACGCAACCATAGTGGGTCTGCAGGCCCTGAAACACACTGGATACCCAGCAGTAAGTGTCAGGGCCCTGGGAGTCTCTAGTGCTGGCCAGGCCCCTGCAGTGGGCTCCAGACAAGACCAGCATGAACAGAGCTGCCTCAGGAGTGGCTTCTCCCAAGTGTTGCCACTGTGTTCTGCGCTTTTGGTATTGTTTCTGTAATAGTTTGGCAGTTACTCCTACTGGAAGGGAAAGTGAATGTAGAGCCTGTAGTAACTCTGGCAACTTTTTCTTATCTTGAGTCTTGGTAGCTTCTTCTTTGGTGGTGCATCCTGTTGGGAACCCAGCTGCAGCTTATCCCTGCTCTGAGCCCTGGCTTCAGAACGGTTATGTACCGTGTGTGGGGTGCTTCTCTTTCAGAGGTCGGACAGCATTAGACCTGCACTCAACAGTCCCATGGAAAGGCCCAGTGGTGACCAGGAGGAGGGAGAGACCTCTGTTCAGGTAAAGGCTGCATATGGGGATGGTGTCTGGGCTGGGGAGAAGCATGGCGCCTGGCAGCAGCCTCCAGTCCTGCCGCGTGGGTTCCAGAGGCTTAGTGCCAGCACAGAAATGAAGGCTTTCAGGGCCACCTCAGTGTGGAAGGTTGACAAACCCTCTGTGGCCTACAGCCACATTATTAGAACTGTATGACACTTCCAAGAAGGGCAAAATAAACCTGACCCTGGGCTCTTCCATACCCAGATGGGGGATGACTGGGCTTAGCTCCCTAGGTCTGAGACCATCAGGTTATCCTCCCCCTCTCCTCACTCACCACCTTGACACTTCCGGTTACTTCCATGCATTTTATAAAAACTGGACCCCTTCAGATCCGAGAAAGAGCTCAACTGTCTAAGCACATACTTTGCGTATTAGAGGTCTGCATTTTATTCTCAGCCAGCAGAGTCCCCTTAGCACTGTTGGATGTGGTTTGCCCCCCACTGAAAAACCAAACCAGACCCTTAGAGATGGAGAAGGGATGGTTGTGTTAGGAACCAAATCTGCCTCTATTTGGAATAGCTACCCCAAAGCAAAGCGCCCCGTGTCTGGTTTCCAGGGGAGAGGCTGCCTGTCCCTCTTTTCTGTCATTCCTGTTTACACCATCATTGTACTTTCTTGGGAAGAGGAGATGGTCTCAGACCACCCTATCTTTGTGTCAGATGTAAGACTTCCCACAGAGGCTGGGGGCTGAGCTGTGTGCCTCCCCCGTAGGTGGGTAGGACTCATTGATGAGGTGCAGAGGCTGCTTTCCCTTGCAAACAGGAAACAGTTTTTCTGTCTTCCTGTGACTGAGTTCAACTGTTCACATCTGTACCCGTAACCAGATCATACCATATTTATCGGATGGTGCCTGGCTACTTTCAGAGAAATGTTCGCTTCTTTATTTTCATGTTGTTTTGTTGGGGGATGGTAATTGTACCACATTCGATGGTGCTCAGAGTCTATTCCTGGCCCTTTGCTCAGGAGTGACCCCCGGTCTGCTCAGGAGTGTAGTGCTGTGTATCAAACTGGGCTTAGCCACAGTGGAAGGCACGCACATGCCTTACCCCCATCCTATCTTCTAACCCTGCATTTTCAGTTTGGGGGTTCGCTGTATTGGGTGAGATTTAAAAGTTCAGTTGGTCTGGAGACATCTGAGGGGGCTGATGCCTGGAGGTAGGCTGAGGTTCTGTGGCCTTCTCCCATTCCCTCCACTCATCGCTGCCTTTTCAGGAGAAGGGGACATGGGATGGGCCCTTTGACCCTTTTTATGCTTCTTTGTCCAGACAGACAGAGAGAGACACACACACACACCCAAGTGTGCTTCCTCCCACTGACGGGTTATGATGGAGGAGGCATGGAATGGGTCCTGTGACCCCTTTTATGCTCCTTTGTGCAAACACACACACACACACACACACACACACACACACACACACACACAAACACACACACACTCTCTCTCTCTCTCTGACTATGCTTCCTCCCACTGGCGGGTTGTGATGCTCACCCCACCAAGTTGTCCTTGTGGGTGAAGGCTGTCTCCCTCCCCTGCCAGGACACACAGGCCCAGCTTTTTCGCAGCCTTCACAGTGCATGTGAGTCCCCACCAGTCCTGGTGCCCCTCTGTGGTCTCCCCAGGTGTCTGCTGCTGCCATTATACATGTGCCTGCCGCACCCTTCCTGGCTCTGTGCCTCCCTATGGGGGGCCCTGGCCCAGGGGGATTTTGCTGTGCTCACAGCCCTGTTTCCCTCACGTCCAGAGTGAGCGTGTGCCACTGGACCTCAGCCCTCGGCTCGAGGAGGCCTCAGACTTCGGCGAGTTGGAAGTGGAGCCCAGCGAGGGGGAAGACTTTGAGGCACGAGGCGGCCGCTTCTCCAAGTCCGCCGATGAGCGACAGCGCATGTTAGTCCAGCGGAAGGATGACCTGCTGCAGCAAGCTCGGAAGTAAGTGGCCTTCCTTCCCTGCCGGTGCACCTAGTGTGGAATAGGCCCTGGGTGTCTTTGCAAGTGGGTGCCAATGTTGAGGGATTATTGCAGGTCGCCTGGATTCTTATATTTCAAACCCCCGGCACCAGGCAGTTCAGCTGGTAACACAGTCACTGGTCTCCTGTGGGCATCTGCCACATTCACCTGGATGGCAGCACACTCTCATGCACCTGGCTGGCACACACACCTTGATGGCACACATACTCACTTGGAAGGCACACACTTACCTGGTGATACATGACGACACACACATTTTAATAGCACACACACACACACACACACACACACACACTCTCTCTCTCTCTCTCATATGGATGGCACCTACTCACACACACACAGACAAACTCACGTGGATGGCACCTACTCTCTCTCTCTCTCTCTCTCTCTCTCTCTCTCTCTCTCTCTCTCTCTCGGTAGCACACTCACATTTGTCTGCATGCCTATATGTTTTCCGCCCCATATGTTAATAATCTGTACTTTTCAAAACCCCCAAAACTGCAGCTCTATCCATTTGACAGATGTAACGATGAATAAATGGGGAACTAGGGAGGTTGATGCTGCCTTTGTGTCCAGCTCCCTTGGCCACTTTGCCTTGCAGCTCAGTGGCAAGAGTGAGCTTGTGGAACCAGGGCCAGTCTTCTGTCTGGGGGTAGGATTGGTTCCCATCTCAGGCCTTGTGTGTGGGGGGCGAATATCATGATGGTAGCAGTCCCTGCTGCAGAGGACCCTCTGTTCAGGGAGGCATTTACTGAGGACAGTCCTGGGGGATGGGAACAAAGCTGTCAAGACACACACAGACCTCCTGTTCAGAGCATCATCACTCATGCGCATTGTCTGTCGTAGGCGCTTCTTGAATAAAAGTTCTGAAGATGACTCAGCCTCCGAGAGTCTGAGGCGCCCTTCGGAAGGCACGACCTCTGATCCCGTGACCCTTCGACGCCGGATGCTGGCCGCTGCGGCTGAACGGAGACTTCAGAAGCAGCAGGCCTCTTAGCGCCCCCGGCCTTCCCGGAGGCCTGTGTGCCTCTGCCTGCTGTGGGAAGCGTGGGCTGGACTGCAGTGCCGCTGTATAAAGCATGTGGTCTCACTACTGTTGGGACAGCCGACAAATTCAATCCTTTTGTAATACTTTGTATGTGACATTTCTCTTCCCTTAGAAACACTGCACATCTAACTCTAGGCATGATCTCTTCTGGCATTGACCGGACTTCTTAGGGGTGGGGAAGATCAAGAGGAAGTGGGTGACCAGAGACCCAGAATGACTGTGTGCAAAAGTCCCAACAAGTGCTGGGCTCTTGTCCTGATCTGGTAGGAGGGAGGTGGGGGCCGGGTTCACACAAAGCAGTGCAGAGCTTTATGGCAGGAGCCTGGCGCCCCACCACTGCGCAGCTCTGCTCCAGCTGTTCTGCTCAGGAATCCTTGAGAATGTTCTAGTTCACACTCTCAGGCTCCTGGAGCCCTGAGCTGGCGGGGCATCTCAGGAAAAGAGCACATGGTTTGGACACGTGAAGCAAAGGAGGGGAGAGTAGTGTGTGTGGAGGTGAACTATTGTGCCCTATCATATCAGGGACTCGTTTTCCGAGCCCCCCCCAATCCAAAGCTGGCTTTATTTCCGTTAACGCTGGTGCTCCTGCCTCTCACAAGTGTCCCCTGTGTGTCTGTCCTCTGTGCGTTTCATTGCCTCCTCCACTCCTTTGGATACAAGGACAGTCAGTGCTTAAAGAGTAAAGCAGCAAGCTTTGGTTTATGGTTTTAATTTCTTGGTCAAATAAATTAGGCAATGCCAAAGGCTGTAGATTTAGTTCTTAGAGAAAATGTGGGCCTTCCAAGATGGGAGAGTACCTTTTTAGAGGACATAATTGATGAAATGAAAGATATCTTTTGTATCTTTCTTCCCTGGAGCCCATCATTTTCATGACTTTTTTCCTATTGGTTTAATTAAGCATAGAAAGGTAAGCTGTCTGCCTGCTTTGGAGCAGAACCAGGCCCCCAACCTTTTCAAATTCTTCACACACTTAAGGATTTGAAACATGAAAATCATAGGCTACACAGTTTTATGTCCTATTGAATTTTTTTTAATGTTTGAAAGTATAGTTTGATGGTAGTCCTTTTGGGAAGAACCAGTATTACCTAAAATTATTGGCACAGTTAAATGTATTTTGCATAACAAAGTTTTTAGACTGTTGAAATTAATTGAAAAAAAAGTGATGAGTAAATATTTAGGATGAGGTAATTTATTTCAATAAATCTTTCAAAAGCCTTACCTAGAGATTAGTAAATTTCTGTGATTTTGGTTTTATTTTGCTGAAAGCATAGCTTTTTTTGTGAGACAACAATAATAAAAAGCAAACTCTGAGCATGTGTGTGTGTGTGCGTGTGTGTGTGTGTGTGCGTGGTGTGTGTGCATGTATGTCCACTGAGGCACTTGCCTGGGTTGCCCCTGTGAGGCAGTGTGGGCCATTTTGGTTGGAGGATCCTCCTGTTCCTACACTTCACCCACTGTACACATTAAAGATGACCTGAATTCCCTGATTGTCATGCTTCAGAGAGGTGGAGAGAGACCATCACAGTAAATTTTAGAGTGGCCTTCAGGCAGTGGAGCGTGAGGCAGCCAAGCCTTCCTCGGCCTACCAGGGCCTGGGAGTCCTTCCCTGCACTGCCCTGTGCCTGAACTTGGAGTTATGGATTCTGGATATTACCATCTCTTGACTTCTGCCCCTTGTGGGAAATCAGGGACTGGTGCTAAAGGCAGCATAGAAGACCAGGCCAGTGTCCCCTGACATTGGGTGAAGTTCCCATCTCATGACCTCTGGTGTCCTGGCTGTTGCCGAGGTCAGGGGACGCATCCTCATGCTCTGTCTTATGCCCCAGAGCCGAAGCAGGTTGCTGATTTCACCTTTGAAAGGGAGAGGGAAGAGTGGGTGGTCTGTTGAGCTCATGAGTCTGGGGGATCACTGTGACTGTGTTGGCTTATTGGCCCAACTTTCTTGACATCTTGGATTCTCACTTTTTTTTACTTCCCCCAGATCTTGAGACTGTTAAGCCAGAGCTTTGGTCCCCAGCACATTTGTTTCACTGGTGTGGTGTAAGTTGAGCCCCAGGTGGCCCCTTTGAACCTGATTTCCTAGTAGAGCTCGGAGACTATGGGTTCTTAATCTCTCTCCAGCAGCTGTGGTCCTGCGACTGGAGTGGGGGTGGGGAGAATAGAAAGGGAGCTGGGACTTTCCTGAGGTGGGCACAGCTGGCAGGAGCTTGCCAAGGAATAAGCTCTGCCTGCCTGCCTGCCTTTTACAGGGTGGGGGCGGGGGGTGGCCGGTGGGACTCTTGTCACCTAGAAGCTGCAGTCCCATCTTGTTAAAAACCTGCCCTTTTCTTTGTTACAAGCGGTTCTAAGCCCAATGCACATCCGAGTCTCGAGGAGTTTTTGGAAATGGGTCAGTGGCTCCACCCCTCATTCTCATGGTCTTTGCAGCCTTTCTTAGAAAATGCTCCCTGATGTCCATTTTAAGAAGGATCAGGCTGCAGAACTCCCGTTGACTCTTATCTGAGAGCCGTGAAAGCAGCCTGGCCCATCAGGGCTCGTCGGGGAGGGCCTGAATGATGCCACAGGCAGGCCGAGTCCCAGGCCTTCAGCCTTGCCCTGCATCATTGGCTTGGTGTGCAGAGCCGTCTTCCCCTCTGCAGCATTTCCTTCTCAGGTAACAAGCCAAGGCAGGGGAACTGGTGGGAAAGTACTAGTAAAAAGTTGTGGCCTGGCTGGCCCACTGCCTTAGCCTGGCTGAGAAAGGGTTCCCGGCCTGGCTGGTTCTTTATGATGGAGATGGGCTGCTTGCTACCCCACAGCTCTGCAGCGTCTCAAGCCCTCCCTCTCGACCCCCAGTAGATTTCAGAGACTGGAATTGCCAGGGAGAAGCTTTTCCAGGCTGCCAAGTCTATCAGTTGGCATAGGGAGAGGATTCCAGAGGGCTGTGATGCAACCCTCGCCTGCCTGGCTTGTGAGCAACCCAACGGGCTCCAGGACCACGGTGGGCTAGGTGGAGAAGAAGGGCAGGAGGGGCTCAGGAAGCTTTCCACTGTAAGGTATGATCCCTGGGAATCAGGGGGTCCAGGCCATTGGTCTCAATGTTGAGACCCAATCTCCCACAGCAGTGGGGCCACTTGACTGCAGAAGATACCAGGTCTGGAGTAGTAGATCTGGGATGACCATCTTGCGACAGGTGCCCTGTTTCTCATCCTTAATTCCAGTGGACCCTCAAACCCAGCTTGAGGCAGGAAGGGGCCCGGAATGATAGTACAGTGGGCAGGGCACTTGCCTTGTAGGCGATGGACTCGGGTTTGATCCCTGGCACCCTTCCCCCGATCCCTGCCTGGAGTGACCCCTGAGCATAACTGTTAGTAGGCACACACACACACACACACACACACACACACACACACACACACACACACTCGCCCCCACCCCAACAACAACCAATAAAGCCAGCTGTGAGGAACTGGAAAACGGGTAGCAGGCACCTGCAAGCCAGAAAGGGCCCCCCCTTCTTGTTCCTAGATGCCATTCCCTTGGCGACAGGACCGAGGCTTGGTATGAAGGTGTTGGTGGGGGTGCCTACTGCATACACCCTGACACACTGGCCTCCCGGCATCCCTCCTTCCCTCTGCTGTTGAGTGAAGCCCACCAACCTCCACAGTCTAGAGGAAGCCAGAGGGTGAGAGACTCAGGAATACAGACAAACATTCTCTTTATTGAGCTACACATGAATTTCCATTAGTCAGAGAAGTAGACTGGCAGTGTGTAAGTATCACAGAAACCTCACCGATTGGGAATAGAAAGGCTTAGAAAGACCCGTGGGATTTTTTTTCAAGTTTTTTTTTTCCTGTATTTTCAATTTTTTGTGTGTTTTGTATTTTTTTTATATATATTTTTTATTTTGGCCTCCTCTTTAATCTGAGAAATGGCTGTGACTGGTCTTCTTCAGCATCTATTAAGTCTGAAAAGTGAAGCCGTGACGAGGTCTGGAGACGAGTCAAAGTAGAAATGACATAGGACCGATCATGGAAACGCTTTCCTGTAAACACCTACATCCCAACCTCTTTGAAATGGTTTTGGTTCCCTCCCCTCCCCATCCTGTGGTATTTAAAAATGTTCTTTTTTATCTGCGGCACACACATCCCCACATGAGAGAGCTCAAACACAGATCACTGCAACAAAGGAGGAGGTGGAGGGGAGGGCACACACGAAGCACCCGTCGAGAGAGGGGAGGCAGGGGCCCCCGGGCAGAGGTCCGAGCCCGTTCCCCAGAGTCAGGGGCGCTGCCGCCTTCGCGAGACAGACTGCTCACCGGGACGGAGAGGGAAACCCAACCAGAAACTACTGGAGGAAGATGAGCAGGGCGCTGGGGACTGGGGCTGGACAGGACAGCTGGTTTCTACTGGCTCTATACACACGATGGGTCTTCTTTTTGGCAGCTACTGGCCAGAGCTGTGCTTTTTCTATACAAACCTGGAGTGAGGTGTGGAATGGCTTGGGACCGAGGATGGGATGCGTGTGGGGTGGGGTGGGGGAGTGCGGGGGGACAGGTGGGGGTAGGTAGGGCACTGACAGCCAGAGGCTTCTGGAAGCGGCCTGAGCATACTGCTGCGAGGTACCGGGCGGGCAGATGTGTTTCTTTAGTTTCCCCCCAAAAGGAAATAAGGATGAAAGGGTGAGTTTTCCTTCCTCTCTCTTTTTTTTAAAGCTACGAAGCATGTGATAAATGTGGGGTTTGGTTTTGTTTTAATTCCCCTTTCAAATTCTAAATGTAAAGACTCAACTAAAACCGGATTCTACAGCATTCTACAGCAATATACAGCCTTCAGTCCCTCTGGGGTCATGAGTCAGACGGGCTCGGTACAGAAAGGCTGTCTTTCCAAAGGCTAAAGGTCATGCGAGCACAGCACAGGCCCGGAAGCAGCCTGGAGAGAGAGAGAGAGAGGGAGAGACAGGGGTCCTGTCTGATCACTACTTAACTTCCCTTCTCAAGTCAACCCCAAATCCCTGCCACAGATTCCGATGCTACTGGGATGAGGCAGGATGGGATTAAGAACCCACGGGCTGCCGGCCCCAGCCATGGAGGCATCACCCTAAGGGACCCTAACCTGGTGGAGCCCTTCCTGTCTCCTCCACACGCCCTCCTGAGGGCACCCTGGAGCCTGCCAGTGAGTCTGGGCCCTGGGGTAAGCCCCCCACCCTTTCCCACCCCACCCCCCGCTGCTCTAGGAAAGCAGATAGAGTCTGCTCCTTTTTCTAGCTCTTGCCTTGTTAAACATGAATAAAGAAAACTCAGGAGACAGTGGATTGGTGAGAACAATGATTCTTCTAAATTCTTGAACAACCAACCGCCACCCCCAAAGAGAAGAGTCCTGATTATTTTGTGGCGGTCAGGGGCTCGGATGGGGAGACGTGGAGGGCGTTGGCCACTTCTGACAGGGGCTGGGGATTTTCACCAGAGCAGGACAGAACTGAACGCACAGGGTCTCGGTGGGGGAAGGAGAGAAAGTGTGGACGGTTGGCCTTTCTCCGCCCTCTCCCACCTGCTCGCCAAACGGGTCTCAGCGTAGAATCACGTGGCTGTTCTTAAAAGAATGGGGTCCCATCACCGTGTGTGCATGCGTGCGTGCATATGTGCGTGCGTGCACGCACTCACGGTTGGAACATGGGGAGGGTTTTATGGGATGGTGGTCAGTTCTGTCCAAAGCTCTTTCTAGTACAAACTAAAAAGAATTTTTTTAATATATATTTGTATATAGATAAGATTTTGTTATTTACCAACTTGCATTTGTTAGTGGCTTGTGTGTGTGTGTGTGTGTGTGTGTGTGTGCAAGCTTTTCTGTGAGTGCTGGAACCATTACCCAAGAGGGTTGCTAACCAGACAAGAGGTCAGTATAAGCCACAGCCCCGGAGGTTGTTGGCAATGATGATGTCGGTGACGGCGTCGAATACCACCTGGATATTATTCGTGTCTGTGGCACAAGTCATGTGACAATAGATTTCTTTGTTGGGTGAGCGGTTTTTGCTTTCGAATTGTGCTTGGATGTAGGCGGCTGCATCTTCATAGGTATTGGGACCTGTACAAAGAGACACAAGAACAGGGGGCCTGGTGAGAAGGGGGTGCTGTGGGTTGTGTGTGTGTGTGTGTGTGTGTGTGTGTGTGCGTGTGCGTGCATGCGTGTGGCAGAGGGATAGGACATTGCGTGCCCCAGGGCTGGACAGAAGAAGCGATAGCTGGGCACCTCTCCCCCGAGGTGTGGTCAACTTCCACATTAAAAGCCATGTAGTGGGGGCTGGAGCAATAGCACAGTGGGTAGGGCAGGGCGTTTGCCTTGCACGTGGCTGACCCGGGTTTGATTCCCAGCATTCCATATGGTTCCCTGAGCGCCACCAGGAGTAATTCCTGAGTGCATGAGCCAGGAGGAACCTCTGTGTATTGTCGGGTGTGACCCAAAAAGAAAACATAAATAAATTAATTAATAAAAGCCATGTAGGGACTGGAGGGATAGCACAGCAGGTAGGATGTTTGCCTTGCATGCGCCCAGTCCGGGTTGATTCTCAGCATCCCATATGGTCCCCTGAGCACCGCCAGGAGTAATTCCTGAGTGCAGAGCCAGGAGGAACCCCTGTGCATCGCTGGGTGTGACCCAAAAAGAAAAAAAAAGTCCTGTAAGGCGAGGGGCTGGGAAGATGAATCAAAGAGCAGAGTGCCTGGTTCACACGCCCAACACCGCAGGTTCCATCTCTGACATGGCCTGAGCCCCGCTGGGTTTACTCCCAGTGCTCCACATCCTAAGGTCTTAGGCTGGTTCCACCGGGGGAGCCTGGAGACGAAAGACCCCAATTTCCCCTTATCTCGAGCTGCTCGAGCTGTGGCCGGCGACCCATTCACAGCTCAGTCTAATCTAGCCCAGCTGCTTCCCATCAACCAAGGAGGTCCAGCCTGGCGGAGGCGCCCCCTGCAGGCCGGCTGGGGGCTAGCACGCAGGAGATGAGCTCTACCACACTTGAGGCTTCCACAGAAGAGGCAGCCGGCTGGCTGGGTCCAGGGGCTACTGGACCTCCTCGGCTTCAAGGAGAGGCCAGGCCAAGAAGGCACTGGGGTCCCTGCGTGGGAGACTAACGAGGTGGTGCAGACTGTGCAGTGCCAACTGGGCCCCCTCACTCCTCTATTCTCTGGCTGTCCCAGGGCTGCCCAGGGGCCGAGGGGGCATCTGGGTTATGAAGCAGGGCAGTTCTCCAGCCCCAGAGAGGGGGCCAGAGATCCGCTGAGGCTGGGACAAGGTGCTCCACACTCTTCCAGGGCCACAGAAGCACCTTGTTGTGAGGGTAAGGCCAGCTCTACAGTGGGGGGTGGGGGTGGGGGGCGTGAGGGGCAGTCAGGGCCGCCTCAAACCCCAAAGTGGGCTGGGCACCCTGAGCAGAAGTGCCCCGAGTGGGCAGTCTGAAGCTGGTATAGGCGACAGGGTGACAGGCCAGATCGGGGAACAGAGGGGTATCTAGCATCCAGCATCCAGAGGGTGCCATGTCTAGCTGCCCTTCCCCAGCTGAGCACCCTCCTCCCCGCCATGCCCTTTCTCTGTCTTCACGCACCTTGGCTCTCCAAGGGCCCAGGGCAATCGTGACCTTTGATGTCTGTTTGGGTGACTTCTCAACTCAAACTGGGTTCCAGGGGTAAGGGCAGGGACTTAGGGTGACTCTGTCCAATGGTGGTGGCACTTCCTGAGTGGACACTGGCCACCCCTTTCTGCAGCCCCATGCAGTTTTTTTTCTTTTGGAGTCATACCCGGCGATGTACAGGGGTTCCTCCTGGCTCTGCACTCAGGAATCACTCCTGGCAGTGCTTGGGGGACCCTATGGGATGCTGGGGATCGAACCCAGGTCGGCCATGTGCAAGGCAAATGCCCTACCCGCTGTGCTATTGCTCCAGCCCTCCTGTGCCACTCTGAGCAGGCAGGAGGCCAGCAGAGACTACTGAGTGCGTGGGGAGGGGGAGGCGGGGGGGGGGGGCGACGGGTGTTGCCGTTAAGCAGGTACCCTCAGTCTGGGGCAGCCCGAGCCCACCCACCTGGATGCCCCGAGCCTGCAGAGGGCACCTCTGCTGGGCCGCCCCCCACCCGGACACCTTCCAGACACTCCCTCCGACAGCCAAGCCTGTAGAGCTGACAGACAAGGCCTTCGAGGGTGCCTGGATGGAAAAACAGGGTGCGGGGAGCGGAGTGAGAGGCCCCGAGTCTTAGACCATCTGGCTCCCCAGGCTGCTTCAGCCCTACCCAACCGTCCCTCTGCACTCCCCGTGCTGAGCAGAACCCTCACAGGCTGGCGGGCAACGACCGAGGGACATCCTGCAGCCTGGGAGCTGCCACTCAGAGGCTCTTGCTTCCGGGGTCCTGGGGAGCCCTGCTGCATGCTGAGCCCAGTCCGTCTCCCCGGGGGTGGGGGGGTGGCTGTGCCGAGCTGTGATGCCAACAATGCCCCTCTGTGGGATAGTGGCCCAGAACCCCTTGGCACCCACCACCCTCCTTGGGCTCCAGACACCAGTTCAGCATCTTGGGACTTCCAGACCGTCCCCAGGAATGGCCACCTCACCCCTGCACAAGGCCAAAGGGGTGAAAAGCAGAGTGTGCAGCTTGCAGGAAGACAGTTTGACTGGGGTGAGGTGGGCATGACGGACAGGTGCAGCAAGGGGCTCCTCTGGCAGGGGGCAGGGGGCAGAGCCCAAGGGCCGTGTGGAGAGCAGGGCCAGCTGGGGCCTCACTGCCGGCTCTGCTCCAACTCCACCAAAGGTGCCGGCCGACAGACAGGTCCCGTGCCCAGGTTCCAGCCAGTGCACTCCCCTTTCTGCTCCCTGTGGGGGTCAAGGGAGGGGGCCTGCCCTGGCCGGGGGGGTCACCCTCAGTGCTGGGCCAGACTCCTGCAGTGCCCCAGACCCTGCACGGGGCCGCACCCACCTGTGTACTCGGGAAAGCAGATGGTCAAAGGAGACTTCTTGATCTTCTCCCCAAAGAGATCTTTCTTGTTGAGGAAGAGAATGATGGAGGTATCGATGAAGAACTTGTTGTTACAGATGGAGTCGAAGAGCATGAGGGACTCGTGCATGCGGTTCTGCAGGCCCCAGCAGGGAGGAGAGAGCAGGACAGACAGCAGGAGGGACGGACAGACACGGAGACAGGGAAAGAGAAGAGAGTTAGGGCCGAGAGGGCGGGCGGGGCTCCTGAGCGGCTCTGCGTGAGGCCCCTGGCACAGCTGACAGGAGGACATGGCGACCCTGAACGAAGGCTGCAGGGAACCGAGCCCGGCTCCCCCCGAAGAGCCCCCAGTCTGGGAGGATCCCCTGTGAGCATATTGGTGCAATTAAGTGCGTACATGTGTGGGCGTGTCTTCGTGTGTTACTCACATGTGTGTGTGGACATGTGCTTATGCACGCAGGTGCGTGTAGGGTCATGTAGGTGTGGGCATATACTTATGTATGTGTTCATGATTGTGGGGGCCTGTGCCTGTGCTCATGTGTTTGCGTGTTCATGTGTGTGCTGGCATGTTCAGGTATGTGAGTCCGTGCTTATGCGTTTGCATGTTCATGGATGCGCGAGTCTATCATTACGTGTGCATATGCTTGTATGTATGCTTATGTGAGCACCAGCTTGTTATACATGCTCATGTGTGCACGTATGTGTGTGAACTTTATGTGCACGTATGTGTGCATAAGCTCTATGTGCATGCACACACGGGCATTGCTTGTGTGTAAAAATGGGTGTGTGTTCATATGTGCTGTGCATGCGTGTGTGCCTGAATCTGTGTGTGTATACGTGCACGTTGGTGTGTATGAGCATGTGCGCATGTGCAAGTGTACTCTTGGGCATGTGTGCATGCCTGGATTGTGTGCACACATGTGCCGGCATTATGTAGGGGTGGCCATGTGGTGGCCACGTGCATGTCCTGGACAGCCCAGAGAAGTGGGCAGTGCCCTTCCCATTCAGCCCTTTCCTCCTAGCCCCTCTGTGGCTGTGGTGGGCAGGAGGCACTGACGCCCTCCTGTGGTGGGAGGAGGTCATGCAGGGCTCCTGGGGGAGTGTGTGCGTGTGTGTGTGTGGGGGGGGGGGGGGACCTGCACCCTCCACAGGAGTCGTCTGGCCACAGTGAGCATCGTGGACACCGCAAAGAAAGCAGAACCGAGGGGCGCCGGCCTCTCTCTTTGGCCAGGGCTGTTCATACGGCGGGCAGGCCCGGGCCCTGGGGTGCCACCTCCCAGGAACTCCCTCTTTCTGCGTGGGATTCAGTGCTCCTCTCCCTATAGGCCCCTGCCCAGCCCACTTAGGTCCACCTGGGAAAGTGAGAGGCCACAGGGGGGAGGGGCTGGTGTGGGCACAGCTCACTCACTCCCTGGACTCTGCCCCTTCCCCCTCACTGCCTGGGAGACACAGGCAGGACCTGCAAGAGTGGAGGCCGGCGGTGACATGGAGTCAGGGCCAGAGCAGCCGGGGCTGTGGGTCAGCACCCGCACCCTCAGCCACCGTCTGTGGGGCCTGACAGGCTCTCATGGAGGGGCTCGAATGCAAATGGCCCATCCCTCTCTGGAGGGTCACGTCGGCCCCCTGCAGCCCGTCTCGTCTCAGCACCCTGCAGAATCTCCACCAAGGCCCGAGGCCAGGAGCCTCTGCACCAGGGGGCAGGCACTCAGGGCTGGCTCTGAGTGGGGGATCGGGGCTAGAACCCCCACACAGCTGCCCCCACGGCCCAGAGCTGCCCCCTGCCCCCGTCGCCACCACCCAAAGTTGCCCCTCATGGGCCGGAGCCTACAGACGTGGCGGCGGGAGGTTATTGGGGTGCCTGGAGCCAGGAGGAGACTGTTCAGTCAGGGGCAGGTGCCGGGACAAGAGCAGGGTGTGCCGGAGCCCTGGACCACTCAGCGGAGCCCACGACCCTGTGGCTTCCTGCGCCCCGGCTGACGTGCCTGACACTCAGCACCCGCCACGCTGAGTCCAGGGGGAGAGAGAACCGGGGCGGCTCCCGTGTCTGCAGCCCACGAAGGCTGGCCCAGGGTAGGGGGCGCGCAGCGAAGAGGGGGCGCCGGCACCAAGCCCCCCCCTCCCCTCCCACACCAGAACCACCATCTAGGAGCTGGGCACACACCTGGCCTTCCCAAGCCCCCCCCAACACGCCAACAAGAGGAAAGAACGGGCGGGGAGGGGGGCAGGCTGCACTCAGCCCCCAGCTCAGTGTCCCGCCCAAGAGCGCCAGGCTGGGAAGGAGAGCCGAGCCAGGACCGTGTCCCCTCCAGCGGGTGGGCCTGAGAAAGACATGCCGGCAGCCAATCGGTGATGACAATCGCTAGAGATTTATTAAACCAACAAGTCACGCTTCTTACAAAATCACAGTTAATGGGGGTGGGGGGGCACGGGTGTGGGGTCCTCGTCATAGGAGCCATGGCACAGCACGAAGAGGGGGCGCTGGGGGCCCACCCTGCCCAGCCAGAGTGGGGGGGAGAAGACCGTGGCGGAGGGGGGAGAAGACCGTGGCGGTGGGGGGGGAGGCTGCTGGGAAAGGGGACATGGCTGTGCGTGGTGGCAGTGGCCTTGGGGACAGGCACCCACCCCCTGCCCCAGGCGGCCCCCTCTTGGGACCTGCCTTCCGGGGCCTCCCTTGGCTCTTGAACCAATGTCCCTGAGCCCAGGCCTCTGGTCTGGGTTCCCAAGAGCGGGCGTGTGTGTGTGTGTGTGTGGGGGGGGGGGGGGCAAGTTTGACACTTCCAGAGGGTTCAGAAGTGCAGGGGCAGCTGAGAGCCTTCCTGAGCCTTCTGGAGGAAGCGACTAGTTGGGGGAAGGGGGTGCACATGAGCTCATTACCAGGATGGTCTCGGGGTGCACTAGGCTGGATGGGGGTGCTCAAAAGAGAAGCATGCAGACGGTGATGCGAGGGGCAGAGGGAGAGGCTGGGTGCAGCCTTTCCTTCAGGGGGAGGTTCCCGCTACCTCCACAAGGCATCCAAGTGCCCTCCCCCCCACCATGGGGTGTGGGGATGGAGGGGGCAGCCTTTTGGCACGGAGGATGCAGGGGCTTTTGCCTGGTCTGGATGGGGGGGACCACACGCTGCCCACAGCTCAGGCTTGGGGGCAAGTAGGGGGACAGTAGGAGGGGCCTCCCCGGCATGCACACTGAGGGCTTCCCCAGGACCTGGGTGTGTCAGAACCAAGGAGGAGGGGCTGAGCCCACCACCACCGCAGGCTCCGAGCTCTGGGGATCCGGGGGTGCACTGCCAACATACCCCTGGCATTGAGGGGGCTGCCTCAGATGTGCCCCCACGTCTGGTCGCACATCTCCGCCCCCCTGTTCCCCTCCCCTCGCCCCCCCTCACCCCACACGACGGAGCCAAAGCTGATGTGTTCCCCGGGGGCATCAGAACGACCCGTGACGGCACCAAGAGACGCAGTGGCCGGGGAAGGCTGAGCAGCGGATGCTGGAGACGGAGCCTGTAACCCTCCCCTCCAAAATGCTGGGGCTGGTGGGGGGTCACCGCCTGCTCTGGCCACTGCAGAGTGAGGAGGTGGCTGGGCTGAGTAGGCCAATGACCACTTCCAGGAAGATGAGCTTCAAGGCTGTTACCACCCCTTTGCCCCCGTCCTGGCCTCGCAGCTGCTTTGGATTCTGGGGCTGCCAGGCAAAATTAAGGGCACAGCTGGCCATACGCCTGTGTGGACGCTCTTGGTGCTGGGCACGGCGGCCTGCCCCGCGCTGACTCCCCGACTGGATGACCGAGGTGGAGCCCCAAAGTCTGCCCAGTTCCCCGAGGCCAGGCCATCAGTGTGAGGGTCCATCAGGGTGGGCTCAGCCCCGAGGTCCTCCTGCGAGGGCACCTGGCCTGGGGCCGCCTCTGTGCCCCAGGAACTCAGGGCGCTCTGGGCTGTTGGCGGGGGGCTCCTCAGGGCCCAGGGCTGCTGAACCCCACGGCGAGCCCAGGGGCTGGGCAGAGCCTGTGGTAGAGGAGCCGTTCCAGCACATCCATTGGGCAAGGAAAGGGGCAGTGAATGGGACCGGGGCAGAGGGAGAGTGAGAGGAGAGAAGGGAAGAGAGAGGGAGAGAGGGGGCTGGAGCGGCAGCACAGCGGGGAGGGAGTTTGCCTTGCACACGGCCGGCCCAGGTTCAATTCCCAGCACCCCATAGGTGCTGAGCACCCCCAGGAGTCATTCCTGAGTGCAGAGCCAGGAGTAACCCCTGAGCATCGCCGGGTGTGACCTCCCCAAAAAAAGAAGAGAGAAAGAGGGAGCGAGTGAGGGAGGAGAGAAGGAGACGGAGAGAGAGAGAAAGAGGAGAGGGAGAGGGGGGAAGGGAGAGGGAGAGAGGGAACAAGGAGAAAGAGGGAAAGACAGAAAGGGAGAGAAGGAGGAGAAGAGGGAAGGGGGAGAGAACAAGAGAGGGGAAGAGAGAAGGAGGGGACCCACGGGCTCCGCCTGCCAGTCCAGGGTCCCCCACACCTCACCTGCCCCATGGGTCACCACCCTGCCCCATGGGGGGCTGCCGTCAACCCCATGTCCCCGCGCCCCCAGCCGAGAGGGCTTCCCAGTCACAGAAATGCCGGCTCCAGGGCCCCCCAGGGGAGGCGCAGGAGGAAAGGCGGGTTTGACAGCATGGGGCCGCAGCGGGCATACCGTCTCCCCAGAGACGCCCCTCAGCACAAGAGCTCCTCTCCGCCCCGGAGCTCGCCAAGGCCAGAGCCCCCAGACCCACACACACCTGGCCAGCCCCAGCCCGGCTGGGGGTGACGGAGCTGCCCCTGGCCAGACGCCCTCTGCGTGCCCACCACCCCTGCCGGCACCCACCCAGCACAGGAACACAAGCACCACTCCAGGGTGGGGAGCAGGAGGAGACAGCCAGGATCTGGGGCGACCCAGTCTCCAGGGTGGGCTTGCCCAGTGCCACTGGCTGCCCCAGCCCCCCCAGGGATCAGGGTCTCTGAGCTGCAGCTGAGCGAGGCGGTACAGTGGGTGGGGAGCTGGGGGGTTGCATGCCCGTACTGGCCCCTGGCCCCAGAGTTCCACAGGCTGCGTTCTCCGGGGGAGCGTGGCAGGTGGGGCTTGGCCCCTGCCACCCCTGCTGGGTGGGGGGAGGGCCCAGCGCAGGGAGGGGGCGGCGGGGGTCTGGGGCCAGGACGCTCAGTAGAGGCCGCAGCCCCGCAGGTTCTTGGCAATGATGACATCTGTCACCGCATCGAAGACAAACTGGATGTTGTTGGTGTCGGTGGCGCAGGTGATGTGGGTGTACACCTCCTTGTGGGCCGACTTGTTCCTGCTCTCGTACTGGGCCTGGATGTAGGTCACGGCATCCGAGAAGGCCTGCGGGCCTGGGGAGAGACAGGCAGGGCCGGGCTGAGGTGGGCGCTCCTGCCCCAGGGACCTGAGGGTGACGTGGGGGGACCCCCGGGGAGGGATGGGAAAGGTGCGTCATGGTCACCTCCAGCTTCAGAACCGTGAGGGGCTGGGGTCGGAGCGACAGGACAGCAGGGAGGACACTGACCCTCTGGGATGCTGGGCTCCACCCACCGCCCCCCACCTCATTCCCTAGGGTCCCCTGAGCACCACCAGGCGGGATTCCTGAGTGCAGAGCCAAGAGTCACCCCTGAGCATTGCTGGGCGTGGCCCCCAAAGAAAACAAACCAAGTGAGGAGACAAAATGTGGCCCCGAGTCGCAGTACCCCCTTTCCTCTGGGCCAGTGCTGCCCGACCTTGGTGCACTTTTTTTTGGGGGGGGGTCACAACCGGCGATGCACAGGGGTAAGTTACTTCTGACTCTGCACTCAGGAATTATTCCTGGCGGTGCTTGGGGGGACCCTATGGGATGTTGGGGATCAAACCCGGGTCGGCCATGTGTAAGGCAAATGGCCTACCCGCTGTGCTATTGCTCCAGCCCAACTTTCTTTCTTTCTTTCTTTCTTTCTTTCTTTCTTTCTTTCTTTCTTTCTTTCTTTGTTTTTTGGGTAACGCCCAACTAAGCTCAGGGGTTACTCCTGGCTCTGCACTCAGGAATTACCCCTGGCGGTGCTCAGGAGACCATATGGGATGCTGGGAATTGAACCTGGGTCGGCCGCATGCAAGGCAAACGCCCTACCAGCTGTGCTATCACTCCAGCCCCCTCCAGCCCAACTTTCTTTCTACATTTCTGCTCAAGGGGGCAGCCCTAGCCTGACCCTGTTCTCTGGACTCTGGGGGAGGGGGGCAGGGAAAGTGTAGAAGGGGGCTCGTACCTTCCTACCTTCCCTGGCGGGGTAGGGGGGCTACCTTTGGAGATCCTCCCATTGTGACCTTGGGAGGGCCCAGGGGCTGTGGACACTCGGATGGGACGGTGGGCAGCCCAGTACCCGGACAGGATGGCTGCAGCCCATGGTGGGGGGTGGGGTGTTCAGCAGACCAGAGGCTGGGTGTGGCCGAGCACAAGCGGGGGGGGGGGGGTCTCAGCTCCTTTCCAACTCTAGGCAGGAAGAAGGGGTGAGTCCCTGGGGCCTCAGGGCACAGCCCAGAGAGGCGCTGCAGACCCCCAGGATGGCCTGGAGAAGGTCGGCTGCAGGGCTGAGGCCTGACATGGGACAGGGGCAGAGAGTGAGGTGGACACTGGCACAGCCCGCTCTTAAGGGCCCCCCGGACCCCTGCTGCCCAACTACTCTCCATTCTCGGGGCAGAGGAGGGGGTCCCGGAAAGCCATGGTCTCTGGCTCCCTCTTCCACTCCCCACATGGACAGAGCTGGCCTGTAGTCTGCAAGGAGGTGGGGGGACCACATCTCCGGGACCCCTCAGCCTGCACCACGGTGGGAGGTATGAGCCCCAGCAGCTGGCAGCCCACTCTGTGCTGGGCCCCCTCGCACGGCCCAAAAAGTCCCTGGCCAGGTGGCCTGGCCTGTGCGGGTTTCCTGCTGGACCCTGCAGCCCCGGCTACCTGCATACTCGGGGAAGCAGAGGGTGAGCGGTGACGTGAGGATCTTCTCCTGGAAGATGTCCTTCTTGTTGAGGAACAGGATGATGGACGTGTCCGTGAACCACTTGTTGTTGCAGATGCTGTCGAAGAGCTTCAGGGACTCGTGCATGCGGTTCTGCAACAGAGTGGGGGGGGGGGGGGGGGGTCGTGAGGGCCAACCAAGCCCCGAGACTCTGACCCCCCACGACCGCCACTCAGCGGGACAAGCAGAGGCCGCCCACGGGGATGCAGCCTCAGGACCCTCGGGACAGCAGGTGTCCTTCCCTGCTTCATTCCACACACAGGCAGGAGTGGGGTGGGGTGGGGGAAGTAGGGTTGGGGTGGGGGGTTAGACTGCCCCCAGTCTCGACCTTGAGAGGGGCTGAGCCCCAGGCGGGCGGCGGGGCAGCATGGTCTCGGGAAAGCCCCCCCCCCCCCCAGCTGGTGGCGAAAACATGCACCATGCATTCGAGGTCGGGCCCCACAGGGTGGAATGGGGGGCAGTGGTCATGCAGTCTGCTCTTCCGAGGCTCATGGGGCCTTGTCAGCGAGGGGGGTGGGGGGATCAGAGACAGGGGAGGGGGGCACGCATTCCGTTGGGAAACATTAACCGAGGACTAATGGAGCCTCGAATTAATTCTGAGTTGGAAGCAGACACCAGTGGGGGGTGGTGGTCTGGGGGTGAGCTTGCTGCGGCCTTGCCGAGGGAGGGGCATGGGGCTGGCTTGGGGGTGGGGCTGGTTTCTCCATCAGGGGGCCAGATCTCCCAGGGATGAGAGCCAGCAAACCAGATCGAAAGAGAGGAAGGATTCAAACCCAATGAAATGGAAAAAAAAAAAAAAGGCCGGAAGCAGAAGAGAGAGAGAGGGAAAAAAAAATTGCTTCACCTGGCGCCGGGTCACAGAAAGGGTTATGGGGGTCCGGAGGTACTCTGGCCGGACAAAAGCCAGGCGGCGGGGAGCGTAGGGGGGTGGGCAGGCTCACACAGCAAAGTCACCCACTGCTTTCAACTCTCAGCGGACGCCTGGACGGGAAGGGAGCTGGCATCGTACCTGCCCGGCTTGGAGGGTCCCTGGACTTGGCCTTGGTTTGGCCAGAGGAGGCCCTGCAGGTGGTGGTGACGGTGGTGGAGGTGGAGAAGCTGTGGCCGGTGGGGGCCGAGGGCTGCGGGAGCCCTGAGCCCGCGGGCCGTGGGCAGGCTGAGGCCCCGGGGGTTGGGGAAATCTGTCACGGACAGGGTGGCGGGCCAGTGGGTGGAAGGCCGCAAGCTCTGGGGCTCCCAGCCCGGTTGCAGAGGCTTCCTCTGGGCTCCCGTGTCCTGGGTCGCCTCCACCCTCGCCCTCGGCCAGGAGGGATCCGCAGGGCTGCTCGGCGAGGCGGGCAGGGGTCATGGACGCTCTCAGCAGGCTCCAAGTCCGACCTCCAGGCCCCGCGTCTGTGTCCGAGCACTAATCCTTGAGCTCCGGCTGACGGGTCTACAGCCCAGCGTTGGCGGAGGGGAGCATTGGTGACGGTCCAAGCAGCCGGGACCCTGCCACACGCAGGGAGTGAGGCCAGGCATGGTGGCGGCTGCATCAGGTTCTGCAGTGTCCCAGGCATGGAGCACGTCCACTTCGTTGTTGTCCAGCCTCAGTCCCCTGCTTCCGCTGCAGCGAGTCCTGCCGACATGTGACGCTGCGCCCCCTTCCCCGGGCGCTGCTCTTCCTGGGCTGGCAGCCGGTGCAGCCCCCGCCCCCCGCAAGCTAAGGAGACCAGCGGGCTTCTGCAGGTCTCTCTGGGGCAGCCCTCGGAAGCAGGGTGGGAGAGCAAAGAGCACAGGGGGCCGGCCAGGAAGCCCCCCTGCTCCCCGTTGCACTCTGCTCCCTGCACCCCCCGAGGCTCAGGCTGATCAGAGGGGGGGGACGAGACCCCCAGCACGCGGAGCACGGCCTGAACTGTGACGTGAGCATGAGCTCGGGTACCTGGCCGGCCTGGGGCATGCCTCAGACCCTCCGCCCTGTCCCCTCCTCTCCTCCTGCTCCCGGGGTCCTGGGGGAGAAGAGACGAGGAGGGTGGGCATGCCCTAGGTCAGGGCCAGATGTGCTGGGCTGCCTCAGGGCAGGGATACTTCATAGGGGATTCGGTCAGGAGCGGGTCCAGGAGAACAACGATGGTGTGGACGCAGAGCGAGGGACCCCTCCTGGGACAGGAGGGCTGCAGGGGGGGGGTCTGCTGAACCCCAACTCAGGTCAGCCACGGCGGGATGGGGGGTGGACACTGCACGAGATGCGAGGCCGGACCCCTCGCCGTCCCCACTGTCCCCAGCCCCCCAGGACGGCGGCGCCTTCTCCCCCTCACACAGCACCTTCCCCCCATACCCATGCCCAGGCCAGTCACAACGCAACGTGATGTTGTAGATTGAGAGAGAGGAGAGAGGAGAGAGGAGAGAGGAGAGGAGAGAGGAGAGAGGAGAGAGAGAGAGAGAGAGAGAGCGAGAGCGAGAGAGCATCCTACCTCCTCACCCCACAAAGCACCTCGCTGGCTCTGAGGGGCCAGGGCTGAGGGTGTGACCCCACAGCCTGGGAGGCACCAAACCCCCATCTCCAGCCACCCAGGGCTTGGGGGGGCGGCACCATGCTTGGCTTCCCTGCTCCCAGATCCCTACCTCCCCCGCCCCATCCTGGACGATCACCAACGACATTACAACCACCAACTCGGCGCGAGACAGTCCAGCCCCCTTGGACCCTCGTGGGCCTGCCCTGTGCGCCCTGGGGCAAGGCCCTGAGAAAGGCAGACCCCTGCTCTAGGTAACCATGCCCCACACTGGCTAGCAGAGACCCCCAAATACAGCCTGGGGGAGTGGGGGGACCGGACACCATGCCCGATCCTGTCCTGCTCACCGCAGCCCCCCACGTCCCGGCGCACACTCAGACAGGGGGTCTCTCTGAGCACCCACACTTTCTCCCGCGGGTGCAGGCTCGCTGGAGGCCTCTCCGCTTCCTCCTAGGAGCCCCTGGATCTGGTCCTGGCTGGACAGCCCCTACCCGGGCCCCCCAATTACGACGATGATGACGACGACGACCATACAGGCGCCCCTCAGAGAGTCTCCTGATGCCCTCCGCCTCCCCCGATCCCAGCCGGCCGGGCCCCTGGCTCACTCACCGTGGTCTCGTCTTCATGGAGCACCTGGTCATAGCCACTGAGGGCGACGCAGAAGATGATGGCCGTGACGTCCTCGAAGCAGTGGATCCATTTCTTCCGCTCAGACCTTTGGCCCCCAACGTCAAACAGCCTTTGGGGAGAAAGGGGGGGCTGGGAGTCAGGAGGGGGGGCGAGAGATGCCCTTGGGCAGCCTGCGGGGCAGAGCGGGGGTGGGGAGGAAAGGATCTCCCCAGGAGCTGGAGCCCTAGGGAGTGGCGGGAACATGGGTTGGGGTGGGGATGTGGCAGCCTGCCGGGCTCAGTCCCTGGCCAGCCCCTCTGAGACACGCAGAGACTGCGCTGCACTGCTCTTGGGGATAGCCGGGCCCGTGGAGGTCTTGGCTGGTCCCTCGGCCCATGCAGCTCAGTTGAACTGGGTCTCAGAGACCATGGGGCCTCCATCCTCACCCCTCCAGACCCCCGCTGCTCCTGTCTCCAGATGCCCCTGACTCCCTTCCCTCCCCCTCTCTAGACCACCCTGGGCACCCCCCACCCCTGCTTCCTAGGGGGGTGGGGGGGAAGACAGGTGAGCGTCCCCTGCCAGGCCCCACCTGAAGTGAAGGTTCTTGAAGGTGAAGTGGGTCTCGACGATGCCCGTGGTCTTGACCCGGGTCCGGAGGATGTCCTGCTCAGTGGGCTGGTAGTCGGCTGCCCCAATCCGGTCCAGGCTGTCCAGGTAGCTGGGAAGGGGGACAGAAGGGGGGGCTGTGGAACGGGAGCCCAGCGGCAGGTGTGGGCGGAGCTGGGAGAGGGTGAGGAGCCTCATCCGTTTGTCTGTCCATCCATCATTCCCTCCTTCCATAACTACAGCCGGCCCCGGGTCCTCAGGGGCTCCTCCGGGCTCCACGCTCAGGGACGACGTGTCGTGGATGACACCAGCCACCTGCACTGTCCCCCAGCCCCTCCCGAGTCCTCTCTCTGTGTGACCAAGCCACGTCCTCTGGGGCGGGGGGGGGGGGGGGAAACGCACCATCTCCGGGGGTAGGAAGGCCACTCCATGAGGATTCCCTACAGCCACCAGAACGCAGCCCCAGGGCTTGGAGCCAGGAGCCCCTGCTTAGCCTGCCCAGCCCCCTTCTCTGAGTGTGCCCGGGGCACGTGGGCATCTCTCCATGGGACACCCGTGGGTGCGGGGCACACACGGGCTGTGCAGCCGATGGTGGCTGTGTCCCGGGTCTTGGGCACTGGGGCTCTTTCCTGGGGGCATCAGAGGAGCCGCTGCGTAGCCCTTGCCCCGGCTGGACACTCGGGAGGGCAGAGGGTGGAGGCGTGTTGGAACCCAAGTGGGGTCTGGCCAGGAGAGCAGGGGTGGGGGCAAGCGCCAGGCCGCCTAAGGGTGGGGGCACGATGTGCAAGGAGCTTGAGCCTGGGGGTGGCAGGGGACCCCAGTGAGTGTCCCTGGCTGGGGGCTGGACTTCAAGGGCGTGGGCCCAGGGGTGTGCTGGCAGGGGCTCCTGGGATAGCCACCTCCCCCAGAAACGGGGCCCCTAGCAGGGAGAGAGAGAGAGAGAGAGAGAGAGAGAGAGAGAGAGAGAGAGAGAGAGAGAGGAGAGGAAGAGGGAGAGAGAGGAAGAGGAAGAGAGACAGAGAAAGAGAGGATGAGAAAGAGAGAGGAAAGGAAGAGGGAGAGAGAAAGAGAGGGAGAGAGAGAAAGAGAGAAGAGAGGAAGAGAGAAAGAGAGGGAGGGAGAGAAAGAGAGGAGAGGAAGAGAGAGAGAAAGAGAAAGAGAAAGAGGGAGAGAGAAAGAGGGAGAGAGAGAAAGAGAGAGAAGAGGAAGAGGGAGAGAGAGAAAGAGAAAGAGAGAGAAGGAGGGAGAGAGGGGGAGAGACCACCAAAGAGGTCAGAACGAGGGGCCGCAGAGAACACAGCGGGCAGGGCTAGGTTTGATCCTCAGCATCCCCTATGGTCCACCAGGAGTGATCCCTGAGCACAGTCAGGCGTGGCCCAAAAGTCAAAGAAGGAAAAGTCAATAATGGCAGCCGGCCCAGGGGGTGGAGCTAGGACGAGTGTGGGGCAGAGCCTGTGCTCAGGAGGGCCCTGCCCAGCCAGAGAAGGAAGGAGGCGCCAGGGCTGTGGCCCTTCACCTAGGCCCCCCAGAGATGTGAGGTGCTGCTGGCCTGTGGAACAGACGCCCACCCGCCCTCCCCAGCCTCGTAGAGGCTTTAAGCGATTCCCACCCCTACCCACGAGTTGTCTCCAGCTGGTCAGGGGGATGAGGAGCCTCTCTGGTCTCGATCCCCAATCTCAGGGGGCAGCTGTTTCAGATCCACAACCTAAGAACCCCCGTCTCCGAGCTGATGCTCCCCCCCCCGCCCCCGCACATGAGAAATGCTGCCAGGAACGCTGGGCATCTTGGAAGGGCGCCACCCACCACCCGCCCCCTCATCACCCACCATTCACCCAGTCAAGCCCCCACCACCCACCCACCCAGCCACTGTTCCAGTGAACAAGTCAGCAGTCCCTGCTCTGTGCTTGTGTGTGCACCTGTGAAAGAGAGAGAGAGGGGAAGAGGGAGAGAGAGAGAGAGGAGAGGAAAGAGAGGAGAGAGACAGAGCGAGGAGTAGGAAGAGGAGAGAGGAGAAAGAGGCAGGGGGTATATGTGGCTATATGGACGTGAAAGAGGGAAAACACAGCGTGTGTGTGTGTGTGTGTGCGAGAGAGAGAGAGAGAGAGAGAGAGAGAGAGAGAGAGAGAGAGAGAGAGAGAGGGAGGGGTTAGAAGGGTAGAGAGAGGGAGGGAGGGAGCGAGAGCAAGGGAGTGAAAGTGATAGAGGAGTAGAGGGAGGGGGAGAGAGTGAAAAAGGAGAGGGAGAAGAGAGAGAGAGAGAGAGAGAGGGAGGGAGGGAGGGAGGGAGGGGGGAGGAGGGGAGGGAGAGAGCGTGAGCAGCCTGCACAGTTGATGTTCTCAGCTTGCTTGTGAGAAGTTGGCAAATACTGAGCCAAGTTTCTTATTTAAAAACCACAAAGGTAACCACCGGAAGAACTAAAAATAATCCTGCAACTAGCAGAAAGGTGGAGGTGGGAGCGGAGAGAGGTGGAAGGAAGGAGGAAGGAAGGAAGGAAGGAAGGAAGGAAGGAAGGAAGGAAGGAAGGAAGGAAGGAAGGGAGGGAGGGAGGGAGAGCGAGAGCCCTCTGGGGCGGGTTGGGGGCGGGGGAGGGCAGGGTCTCTGGGTGTGCAGTGACCAGGGCACAGAGGATGAGGGAAGAGCCCTCTCCTCTGCTGGGGAAGCCCCCTCCCCCGTAGTCCTTTGCTAATCCTCCACCCCGAAGCCCCCTCCTGCAAGGAGCCGCCTCCAGACACCTGGAATAGTCTCGCCACAGCTCGAGGTCAAAGGACTTTTGGGTCATACCAAATCAGTGCTCAGGGATCATTCTTGGAGGGGCTCAGGGGACCATAAGCCGTGCCAAGGCGCAAACCAAGGTTTGGCTACATGCTAGACAAGTGCCCCTGGGCTCGCTCTCTCTCTCTCTCTCTCTCTCTCTCTCTCTCTCTCTCTCTCTCTCTCTCTCTCTCTCCCCACCCACTCTGGCCCTTCTTTAAAAAAATTTTTTTTGGGGGGACAGAGTGATACCACAGTGGGCAGGGTGTTTGTCTTGCACGCAGCCGACCTGGGTTTGATTCCCAGCATCCCATATGGTCCCCTGAGCACCACCAGGGGTAACTCCTGAGTGCAGAGCCAGGAGTAACCCCTGTGCATCGCCGGGTGTGACCCAAAAAGCAAAAAAAAATTTTATTATTTTTTGGGGGGAGGGGGCGACACCCAACAGTGCTCCAGGCTTACTCCTGGCTCTGCATTCAGGAATTACTCCTGGCAGTGCTCAGGGGACCATATGGGAAATTAGGGCTTGAACCCGGGTCAGCTGTGCAAAGCTGCCTGCCCTGGCTCCACTTCTGCATTTTAGCTAATGTTATTATTAGGTGTGGGGGCCACATCCGGTGATGTTCTGCACTCAGGAATGACTCCTGGTGGGTTTGTGTGTGGGGGGGACCATACGGGATGCCAGGGGTGGACCCCCCAGTGAGCAGCGTGAGAGGAGCGCGCCCTGCCTGTATTGGGTCACTGCCGTCCCGTGGACTATCATCTTCATATAAACTCTCCCTGAAAATGCTCCCTGTATCACCTGCCTGCACCCCAGGGCAGGGAGAGGCTTCGGCGGGAACCAAAGTCCCAGAAGACAAGATGGAATCCATCACGTGCCCAGAGAAGGCCCTGGCACGGACCCTCATCTACGCCCTGGGCCCAGGCCATCAGGGAGACCCCTACAAGGCCCACTGGGCAGACATGAGCTGTGGCCAAGTGGGGTCCCGTGTCCAAGCCGGGGTACGGCACCCTTCCCCCTCCTTCTGGGCTCGCTCCCCTCCACCCCATCACCTGTTCTAAGTCATAGTAGTGCCCCCGGGTGGGGGGGCAGATAGTCAAACCTTGAGCAGGGGAGGGTTTCCTCACCCTGCAAAGAGTAAAACCCTCACTTCAGCCTGGGAACCTGGAGCGGAGCAGTCTGGAAACTGGGGTGAGGGATCAAGTCAGTCGGTACACAGAAGGGGGACTCAGGGGGGCTGGCACAGGCATCTGCAGACTGTTGTCTCCTCCCCCTCCTCCTTTCCCCCTCTCTCCTCTCTCTCTTCCTCCCTCTCCTCTCACCAACACACCTCTCCCTCTCCCCTCTTTCTCCTCTTTTTCCCTCTCTTCTGTCTCTCTTTCCCCTTTTCTTCCCTCTCCTCCTCTCTCTCTCCTCTCTTCCTCTCCTCTTCTCTTCTCTCTCTCTCTCTCTCTCTCTCTCTCTCTCTCTCTCTCTCTCTCTCTCTCTCTCTCTCCCCCCTCCACAGCCCCACTTGGGCCCCAGTTCCTCACTGGTAACAGTATAAAAAAAAAAAAGAAAGTTTCCCGTTTTCTTTAAAATCCAACCAAAGGGTCCTGGGCAAGTTATCTGCTTGCTGTGAGGTCCTTGCACTGGCGCTGTCAGGAGTTTTTTGGCCACAGCAGCAGCAGCGTGGCTGAGGGCGGGGGTGGGGGGTTCCCTGTGCAGGGGCAGGGGCTGGGACACTCACTATTTGGCAGAGTCGTTGAGCTGATACTCCCGGGAGCGGCTGAAGCACTCCTGGATGCCCGAGTCCCCCCAGAGCCGCACCATGGCCGACAGCAGCTCGGGGGAGAAGGGCTCCGTGTCCTCCATCCGGCTCACCACGTCACACACCATCTTGGCGTCCGCCTGTGAGGAGAAAGAGAGAAGGAGGTCAGAGGGTGACCGAGGCCTGGGGAGGGGTGGGGGGACCCTGTGGGGTGCTGGGGATGGAAGCCAGGCTGGCGCCCTCCCAGTTGTGTCCACCCTCCCAGCTGTGTCCGGCTCCAGCCAGAAATGGGCTGTGTGACGGGGGGAGGTGGGGGAGTTGGTGGGTGGCCACAGGGCAGTGGGACCTCGTCATCATTATGATCTTTTGTTTGGGGGTCGCGCCCAGCAGTACTCAGGGCTCACTCCAGGCCCTGCACTCAGGAATTACTTTTGGCGGTACTCAGAGAAATATATGGGATGCCGGGCATCGAACCCCGGTTGGCTGCGTGCAAGACAAATGCTCTCCCCACTGTGCTATTGCTCCGGCCCTGGCAGCCAGAGTTAGCCCCAGTTTTTTTTTTTTTTTTTTTTTTTTTTCCGTTTTGGGTCACACCTGGCGATGCTCAGGGCTTACTCCTGGCTCTGCACTCAGGAATTACTCCTGGCGGTGCTCAGGGGACCGTATAGGATGCTGGGAATCAAACCTGGATTGGCCGCGTGCAAGGCAAACGCCCTACCCGATGTGCTATCGCTCCAGCCCCTAGCTCCATTTTTTGAGGGGACCCCGAGGGTCTTTCCTGGTGATGCTCAGTGGTCAGCTCTGTGCTATGTGTGCTAGGGCCTGAGGTGAGCTACAGACCAGCAGGGCCAACACCCCTCCCCCCCACCACCGGCAGTGCTGGGAGGCCACCAGGGCTGGGGGTGGGGGGAACCAGTAGTGTCAGGTACAAAACCTGGCTTGAGTGTGCCCCAGCCCCGCCTCACAGGTAGGGAAACTGAGGCAGGCACTCGCCAATGCCCACCGGTGGTGGAGGCAGAGCCGGGGTCACTGGACCCTGCAGTCACGTGTGGACCGATCGGGGCTCCAGCACGGACCCACCCTGTGATCCAGCCTTGTTCTCGCTCCTGGACGGGAGGACAGGGGAGCTGGGGCCCCTTCCTGCTGGGGGTGGGGGGTGTCTCCTGCAGAGGGAGTGCAAGCCCTGCCTTTCGACTGTGAGTGCCCCTAAGGAGGAACCGGCCAGACAGGGCTCAGACCCCCGCCCTCCAGTGTCGGCCCATGGGGAAGCAGATCCAGGGGCTGGTGGCCGAGGGACGGGGCAGGGGGGCGTCCCTGGTGGGTCCTCCTGAGCAGGGCAGTCTGTGGTAGCACTTCCGGGACACCTGCTGTGCCCACCAGTTGCGTTTCCCATCCTGGGTGGGCACTGGAGGCATCAACCTGGGAGTGAGTGCGGTGCCCCAGGCACCCCCGTCTCTCTGAGCTCGGGACCCTCGGCACTTAGGGTGGGGCCGCCAGAGATGGGTCAAGGGGCTTGGGGCTTTCCTGCGGTGTGTGGCCGACCAGGGTTTGGATCCCCAGCACCGTAGCTGGTCCCCGGAGCACCTCCGGGGGTCTCTCCTGAGCAGAGTCAGGCGTGTCCCCACCCCCACCCCACCCCGGAACCAAACAGAACTGGGGTCTTTCAGGATGATGCCGCCCCAGCTAAGTGCTTTCAGCCGTCAGCCTGGGAGACAGCCAGGCCCAGGAAGCATGCTGGGGGCCCGGGCTCTGCAGGTGTCCTTTGGGGGGGAGGGTGCTGGGTTGGGGGGACACACAGGAGGGAGGCGGCACCCCCAGAAACTGGCCGCCAGCAGATCCCAACAAAAGGGCTGCGGGGGCCAGCGCTCGGTGGACACTTGCCCAGAAACAAGCGGCCAGTAAGTAGCTATTTCTGCGTCAGCCTGTCTGCAAGGGGGGGGCAGGGGGCGGGGGTGCAGGAGGTTCTGGCTCTGTCCCAGCCCTGACACCTGGCCCCGGCAGGGGGGAGGGGGGAGCCACCACTGGACAGATGGGGTCAAGCCAGGGCCCTTATCCCCCGGGGACAGTGGCCCTCAAGACCCTAGCCCTGGGCCTGGGGATACCTGCAGGCTCTGCACCCGAACCCCAGGGCAGCCACCTGGTGCTGGGGGCTGCAGGCCGGAGGAGGGGCTCCGAGCAGACACTGAGCCCTGCGGGTGCCCTGGGAGAACCCCCTTCCCCGCCTTGTGCCAATGCCTGCATCCGTCGCCCTGATTCTCCCAGCGGTGCCTCTGCTGCCCCGTGTGGGTGCGTGTGTGCATGTGTGTACACGCGTGTGAGTATGCATGTGTGTTAGTGCGTACATGTGTGTGCTTGTGCATGTGTGCATACAAGCATACACATGTATGGGCGTGCCTGTGTACACGTGAGTTTGTGAGTATGTGTGCGCGCTCATGTGTGTGCATGAATACACGCGAGTACATGCATGTGTGCACATATGCATGAGTGTGTTATGTGTCCACATGTGCATGTGTGCATGTGTGAGTGCATGTGCATGCATGTGTGTACATGTGAGTACATGTATGTGTGTGCACGTGTGCTTGTTATGTGTGCGTGCATGTGTGAGTGCGACCTGGCTCTGTGCCCAGACTGTTAGGCCCTTCGCGCCCTGGCAAAGCTCCCTCTGTCCTGCTGAGCCCCTGTTCCGAGGCATCAGCACTGACGACTCAGCTGAGAGCTGCCCCTGGGGACAGTGGGGACACTCCCATAGCGTCCCCCCACCCTCCCCTTCCCAATCTGCTCCCACAGCGCACACCCAGAGGTACTTGGGGATAGAATGGGGCCGCCCCCAGCCCCTGACCAACCTGCAAGTGATCCACCTCCTTCTCCACCCAACCCCATGGCAAAGTCACCTCCTCAGGGAAGCCCTCCCTCCATGGCCCCAGGCAGAGTTCCCACAGTGCGAGGGGTGGGTTCCAGAGTTTCCACCGTGCGTGAGCTTCGTGGCCCCTGACAGCAGGCCGGGCCCCAGTTTCTCCCTCCTGTCCCCCAACAACCCGGGTCTCATCACGTCATCAGTGCAGTGTCGGAGGCAGATAGAGGGACTGAAGGTCAGAGGGGAGGTGACCTGTTCTGGGTCGCCAGCCCCTGGCCAGCCTCAATGAGTGGGCACTGGAGAGGGAGGGATGGGAGGGTGAGATGCAAGACTCAGGCTTGGGGGCAGGGGGCAGGGCCCTGTCAGCTCACCCTGGAGACCCATGCTGCTGCCTGGTGGGCTCAGGTACCAGGTGCGAGTTAGTGGTGGACATAGGTCTGTGCCCACCCCACCCCATCTGCCTCAGCGAACAGCGAGGGTTGAACAGAGAATCCAGATTTATCAAATGAGACCAACAACCAGCCCTGGGACATTTATAGAAACTCTTATAAGAGAGAGACTCTCAAAGGGGAATGCAGAGCCATCAACCAGAGCCAGCAGAGTTGACAGAGGACTGAGTCACACACATGACAGCACCTGGACCCAGCCGCACCTGAAGCCACGAGCGCCCCCTGGACGCCCGGTCACTCGCATTGACCAAGTCCCTCAATTCTTAATCTCGGTGAGCATCTAGTCTCATCTGGGTGGTTTGCCTTTTAGTCCCCCTCGCTCCGGGTTAGTCCTATCCAAGTCCTGCTCTGCAGAGGCCGACACCTGCCACACCTCCTCCAGGAAGACCTCCTCCCCACACCCTCAGGGCAGACCACTGCTCAGTTCCCTCTTCTCTTCTCTGAATGGTGCCCAGCCTGCACTCCATCCCCTGTGTGTGAGGGTGGAGGCCACACACAGACTCCAGAGGCCCCACTCCAGGGCACTGGGGGGCTTGGAGGCCGCTGGAAGGCCCAGCTGGTCACTGGCACACGTGCTCGGCTCTGGCCAGTGCGGTGGTTTCAGGACGTCCGTGGTGTGGACATCCTGGCCCTAAAGGCTCTGATTACACTTTGCAGAGGTTTGGGGCCCGGCACCCCTCTACTGGGACCCGGGGCGAGGCGAGCGGGCCCTGCCCAGTGGACTCCCTGCCCCACTGTTCTGAGGCCCAGCTGTAGGGGAGGGGCAGGGTGAGCAGATGGCTGCTGCTTCCCCAGAGCACAGGTGGGGTGTGGGAGTCTGGAGGCTCCTCTGCCCTCCATCTCGTCTACCAGAAGTCTCTGCATCTTTTGGGGAGTATGGTCTCAGGGACCCTGGGGTGCCCACAGTGCTCCCCGCAGCCCTCCTAGGGCTCAGCCCTCCACCCTGTAGGACTGAGATTGAGGAGGTCCAATACCCTCACCTGAGTGAAAGGCCCACAGTCCCCTCCTTGTCCTCAGGTGAGCTATAGGGGGAGGGGGTCTGTCCCGAGAGCAAAGGGGCTCAGCATGGGGATGGCAACGGGGTGTGTGTGTGTGTAGTGGGGGGGAGGCTACTATGTGCTGCCCCAGCTTCCAGAGCCTGCAGGGGTGGGGGGTGAGGGGCAGAGGAGGCTGCTTGGCTGGGTTTAGTCCTGGCATTGCGGGGAGCCCAGGACGGGGTGGGGTAGGTGTGTGTGTGTGTGTGTGTGTGTGTGTGTGTGTGTGTGTGTGTGTTGTCCACACCCAGCAGCATTCAGGACTTACTCCTGCCTCTGCTACATGGATCCATTCTGGCAGGCTTGGGGGGTCCTCTGGGGTGCCGGGGATCGAACTCTGGGTCAGCCGGGTGCAAGGCCAGCGCCCTCCCCGCTAGACTATCAATCACCCTGGTCCTCTGTGGGCATCTAGAGGTACGTCCCAGACAGGCATTTCTGAGGGTTCCCCCAGGCAAAAGGCCGTTCTGTTTTAGAAACGTTGACGACATCCAGTGATGCTGAGGGCTTACTCCTGGCTTTGTGCTCAGGGGTCATTTGTGGCAGAGCTTGGGGGAGTGGACCCAGGTGAAGGTGAGACGCCGGCAAGGCAGGCCTGTGGGGCCAGGTTACAGAGGCCCCAGGGAGCAGGAGGAGGGACTCTCTGCCCATCCCTGCCTGGTGCCGCCTGTTCGGTGCCTGGGTCTCCATCACTGTGGTCACAGCTGGTCACAGCTGCTCTAGGGGGTGGCGGGCGTCCCTGTGACAGTCTGCATGTCCCGGTAAGCATCTGAAGCCGAGGGGTGGGTGGCAGAGGGCCCTGGGTT